GTCTATGAGACATGACCTTTGCCTGTAGAATATGCCCTTTGACTTTGAGACATGAATTTTGCCTGTTGGCCGTGACCCTTGCCTGTGGAATATGATGTTTGACTGGGAGATGTGACCTTTGCCTATGGGATGTGACTTTTGCCCCTGGGATGTGACCGATGACCGGGTACCTGTTGGACTTGACTTCTCAGGTACCCGACTTAGCCTTTCTGAAACTGTCCGACTCGGCCTCCTTTAGCCTGGGGACTTGACCCTGAGATTCGAATTTGGGGTTTGCATCGTGGAATGCCTTTCACTCTCGCCGGCCTAATTTCGAGGTCGAGAAAGCCACACTCTTTATTTGTCAACTATAGTGATTCCTCTTCTAGCCCTCTCATAGTAAGACACTATATGTGGTGCTGTCTCATTTAGTTCATCGCTACAGCGATCTTCAGAAGATTCTTGATAAGTGAATCTGATCTTATATTGTCATGGGGTTCTACCCCTGCATCCAGATCTATAAACATCCTCTGGAACAATGCGATCCACGTCATACTTGCCATCCATATTGGGAGGAATCATAGATCTTCGAGACGGAAGTAGCTCATTGCCAACACAAGGGAGGCATGAAACATAGGGTAAGTGTGCAGATGCGGAGGAATCTCAACAAAGTAGGAAGGACCATCCACATCTCCAATCACATCAAGTATCTGTCACGGTCCCCTATACGCAGGCAATAACTTATGTGAGATGTTGTCCTTAGGGAGAAACTCTTTAGACGTTAACCAGACCAAATCCCCTGTAGCGAATTGCGAAGGTCTGCTGTGTTTATATGCCTGCTCTATCATCCGATGCTGTGCTTTTCTGATCTTCTCTCTTACTTAAGTCCTTATATTGCATAGTGCATTCACTAGTCCCTGGAGGAAGCCTTTGTGCCTGATCAGGGTTCAGTCAATGGGCCTGCGTGGGCACCAATCTAAAATGCAGTTCAGTGGGTGTTCTCATTGTAGTCAAATGTACAGAATTGTTTGTTGTAAGCACTAGCGATCTTGGCCAGATGTTCATCCCAGTCAATCGAATCTGGCCGGATATACGTACGCAGAACTTGCTGTAGCATTTTGTTCATTTGCTCAGTCTGTCCGTTTGTCGCAGGGTGTCTACCTGAGGACATAGTCAGTTCGGATCCATAGACGTTCATGGGCTGTTGCCAGTGCTCGCCCGTGAATAGTGTATCCCTATCACTTACAATAGTCAAGGGATAGTCTTTCACCCAATTATTAAAGAATTCCTGAATTACTAAATCTGTTCTTGCTTCAGCAGGGAGTGGAACGAAAACAGCGAACTTGCTGAATCTGTCTACAATGACCATAACTTGGCTCTTTCCATTTCTACTCGTCACCTTAGTGTCCGCAAAGTCTATGGACACGAAGTCTCCGGGATCCGATGGGATAGGCAGCAGTCAAGTAAACCAAGGGGAGGCTGGAACTCTTGTTCCTCTGACACACTTTGCAGCCTTGAACATAGGTTATACAGTCATGCTTCATTCCAGCCCATGTATAGGAATGTAGGAGGTTAGCATAAGTTTTCCTCCAATCGAGATGTCCCTCAATGTCGTGTCATTCCCCTAGGATTAGACTGCGTATCTCCTCACTGTTGGTATGCACAGTCTATCATCCACATCAATCTTATGGTAGCGCTTGGGTGACTTTATAGTTCGGGACTTTGTGCGGTGACATCTGCACCTTGTTCATTAATTGGCTATCGACAGGATCACTAATGTGAGCGGATCTAATCTTTTCTTGCAACTCGGCGGCCGCATCCAAGTATGTTCCAATGGCACCGAAGAAGTCAGCCCGTCTACTCAGTGCATCAGCAACAACATTATACTTCCCTTTTACTGGCTTAATCTCCCTAGCCCACCTAGTCAACTTAGGTGTCATCCGGGCTTGGGTTTTCAGCCAGTGAAGTGTCTCATGGTCTGAATATGCTTTGAATTGCCGTCCTAGGAGGTATTGTTGCCAATGATTCAAGGCTTCTCTAAGAGCAAGCCACTCTCTCTCGTGTGTGGAAGCGGTGACCTTTTCACTAGGCAGTCTACAGGACAAACTCAACAGGTCTGTACCTAATTCCGTCATTCTGTTGGAGTACAACACCGGCAGTGGTAACTATAAGAGGTAAGGACAGATCAACGATCTTCAGAACCGGGTACTCTATCAAGCACTTCTTCAGATGCTTAAAGGTTGAGGTACAGTCCTTGTCCCACTTCCAGACTGTTTCCTTCCTCAACAACCTACGCAATGGAGCAGCTATTACAACAAAGTTTCGTACGAACTTGGAGTAATGGTTGGTCAGACCAAGGAACGGCCGTAGTTTCGTCAACGTACGTGGCGTCGACCAATCTTTAATTGCTGCTATCTTAGCGTCCTCCGGTTTGATTCCATCTCCATCCCACACGTCCCCAAGTATAACACTTGACGTTTGGCCCACTCGCACTTCTTCGGGTTCAACTTAAACTCAGCCTCGCCCAACTCATTTAGCGTCGACCAAAGGTGCTGCTCATGTTCTTCTAAAGACTTACCGAAAATTAGAATATCATCTAAATATACAACAATGAACTTGTCTAGCAATCGCGGAAGAGTTCATTTATACATCGCTGGAAGGTAGCAGGGGCATTAGTCAACCCAAACGGCATGACCACAAACTCGTAGTGGCCATATCGAGTCCTAAAGGCCGTCTTGTGTTGATCCTCAGGCAACACCTGAAT